CTCCTATTGCAGGATACTTGTACAATCACATTTTTGCTGCTCTTTTTTTTTTTTTATGGGGGGCGGGTCGTACACATGAGTGCATGCGGTGGAGATGAGGAGTCAAGAAGAGGGAGTTGAATCACCTGGAGCTGAAGTCACAGGAAGTTGTGACACTAGATGTGGGTGCTAGGAATTGAACTCATGTCCTCTGCAAGAACAGTAAGTGCTCTTAACGACTGAGTCATCTCTCCAGCCACCTTGAGTGTTTTTGTGAGACAGTAAGTGACAATTTTATAGTATCACACCTTATGGAGATAAAGATACCATTTCAAGTAAATAAGAGATTAGTCCAAAAAGTCAGAACAAAAACTAGGGAAATGAGACATGCGCAAAGGACTTGCTTCAGAAGGCTGCCAAGGAAATGGAATAGATGTGACAAGACAGTAGAAGGAAGGGATTTGGGGGAGGAAGGGGGCCAACAAGAGAGAGGATATATGAGATGTAAGAGAATGTCACAACGAAACCCATTGCTTTGTATGCTAAGTAAAAAGTGTTATTTAAAAAAACAAAACTGTGTTAGGCTAGCAAGATATAGCTCAGTAGATAATCATACTTGCCAAAACTGTCAAATTGAAGTCAATCCCTGGGGCCCAGAGTATGGAAAGAGAGAACCCACTCCCACAAGTAGTCCCCTAACATCACATGTACATGCATGTCCCACTCCCAATGGCAAATAAATATTAAGATAAAAAACTGTGTTATATTCTTAGAAACCTATGAGGCCATGTGCATATTTAGAGCTGTACATATGTAAGACCTGGAAAAATCATAATCTTTAATTTTTGTTTGACCTCAAAGGCTCAGAGAACTAAGTTAGAGTAAGAACAGAGCTTTAATCTTATGGAACACTGACATTATACCACAGCACAGATAGATAGATGATAGATAGGTGATGATAGATGATAGATAGATAGACAGATAGATGATAGATAGATAGATAGATAGAAATAAACATATACTACTTAGAGGAACTGAAACTCAGAGATGAATGAGCAGCTAGTAAAAGGATAGTATTTTAAACAAGTTCAGATATCCAGGCCAGGTGAAGGAAATTTCATAGATAGATAGATAGATAGATAGATAGATAGATAGATAGATAGATAGATAGATAGATAGATAGATAGATGATAGATAGGCAGGCACACACACATATACACACACATTAGTAAAGGGAGAGAGATTTACTTGGTCCCAGCATTAAAAACAACAACAACAAACTTCAGTAGCAGGAGAGATGGCTCAGAGGTTAAGAGCACTTATTGCTCTTTAAGAGGACCTGGGTTTGGTTCCTAGGTCCCAAACAGTGGCTTACAACCAACTGTAACTCCAGTTTCAAGAGATTTGATGTCGTCTTCTGGCCTGTACGGATTCCCCCACAGACATGCCCCCAGGCCAACCTAATGCAGACAAACCTTCACTGAGCTGTCCTTCCTAGGTGATTACAGATTACGTCATGTTGAAATTAGGACTAACCATCACATGTAGCATTTTTATTTACAAATGTACTATCTTTTCTATTTTGATTTTCAATTTTGATTTTGTTAAGTCCACCCATTCATGTAATGTTTGCAGCAGTCAGAAGAGGGCAACAGATCCCTTGGAACTGGAGTTGCAGATGGTTGTTTGTCCCAGTCTGGGTTCTGGAAATCAAACCTGGGTCCTCTGCAACAGCAGCCAGTGCTGTTAAATGCTGAGCCATCTTTCTAACACCTATATATGTATTATCTTTAACATCTAAAAGAAGACATATGTATCTTAAATATATATGTCCATATACATGAGGTATTGAGGTAGCTTCTTGTGTGTGTCAGTTTGTTTTTCTAAAACTTTACTTATTTTTGCCAGGCGTGGTAGCGCATGCCTTTCATCTCAGCACTCAGGAGGCAGAGGCAGACAGATCTCTGAGAGTTCAAGGCCAGCCTGGTCTACATAGTGAGTTCCAGGACAGCGGGGGCTACAGGGAGACCCTGTCTCAAAAAGACCAAAAAAATTTACTTATTTTTTCATTCAATTTTCCCAATTTTTGGTGTGAGATTACTCATAATATTTTTACATCATTAAGACCTGTAAGAATGTCACCTTTTGCTAACAAGTTGTGTCTGTTTTTTTAAATTATTTACTTAATAACCATATAATTAGAAGAAGTATTTCATTACAACAACATTGACATAAACAATAACAATTTCCAGAGCTAAGATGCATCTCTTTCAAAATTGGCTGTAAATGTTTAGGTTTACAGTTGAATCGACACAGTTATACAATATTGTACTCCGTATAACCCCTGTAAGACATGAAATTAAATGAGGTTTTACCGGGGCCTCCCAGGGCTTCGGCTGGGCATTGGCCAGGCTCCTGGCCTGGCTGCTGTCGCCAAGTTCCGTGCTGCTCCTAAGCGCTCGCAGTGATGCGGCACTGCGGCGACTGGAGGAGGAGCTGGATGCGGAGCGACCCGGCCTGCGCATGGTACGGATCGCCGCGGACCTCGGCTCGGAGGCCGCCGTGCAGCAGCTGCTCTGTGCGGTGCGGGAACTGCCCAGGCCCGAGGGGCTGTGGCGCTTGCTGCTTATCAACAACGTGGGTCCCCTGGACACAGACATGCAGCATTTGGCTTGGGAGACTTCCGTGGACCCAGAATTAAGGAACACACTACAGAAGTTGAAGTCAAAGAGGGAGCTGGGTAGATTGTGAGAAATCAGCCCAGAAACTTCTGAGCTTGCTGCAAAAGGACACATTCCAGTCTGGAGCCCATGCGGACTTCTATGACAATTAAGCCCAGGTCATTTGTCCCGGCCTGCAGGACACTTCTACAGTGGCGCGACCAGTGGGGGTCCTAGAAGGAATGACAAACAAGGAACACGAAGAAAGAGAGCAAGACAGTGTTCTGATCAAGCTCCAAAATTTTATTTGAAAGCAGCAGATATATATACTGGTAGTGGAAAGAGAGGGGGGGAGGTGAGGAGAAGGAAAGTGCTGGGCAGACACTAATTGGTGTTGTTGGATGCTATAGCTAGGGAGGGTTATTCAAGGGGCATTTCTTATCCTAAAGGAACATCTGCTAACTGTTATGGTGAGCATAAAACATTTCTCAAGGCTGACTTAGCCTGGGTCACAAAGTTGTTTTTCTACATTCTTTAACTAAGTGCTATCTTATAGAAACTTACAGAAAACCATTAAGCTGTTTTTTCTCAAGGCCATAAAGATTTACAGGAAACCATAAAGCTGTCTTTTTCTCAAAGCCATAAAGATGTTTCTCTTCTGGCCTTTTGGCTCCCAACATCTCCTCCCTTTTTTATTTATTAGAACAAATAACCAGACTCCTCCCATGAGGATTTTTGAAGATTTCCTCACTGTTTTTTGCTCTTGGTACTTTTGGGGAGGTGAGGCAGAGCAGTGAGGGACCTTTGGGTCCCTGCCCGGGTGACTGCACCTGTCTTAGGTTGGAAGGGATCTCCCCCAAATCATACACCCGTCATGGGATGAGGCCGCAGCTTTGGCGGCCCTCCTGTCTTAGGGGTTTTAATGAGGGGGCCACTTCTCTTACCCGTCTCTGGCTGCCAGTCAAGCTCGGCGGGCAAAGGTGAATGTACCAACCTCATGCTAGTCTGGTTATAAATGTTAGGGAGTTATGTTATAAGTCCAAGGTTAAGGTACCAGGAGACCTCAAGGGTCTGTCATATTCAGTTTCCAGGGGCTCAGTCATCTCTAAGCGTTGATAGTGGATTTGAATGGGCTTAGATAAAATTGAATCAACCTGTTGTTTGATAAATTTTGTGATCCTATTGAATGCCCAGGGCCCAAGGGAAATTACTATCAGAAGGCCCAAGGAGGGGAAGGAGGTAGGGTATGAGTCCGCCAAGTCCGGTCCAGAAGGGATTGTCTTGTAGTTCTCGAAGTCACTTTTCTAATTGTTCTTGGAGATTTTTTATCTTATCTTGAACTATGTTGGATTTGTTGGCGTAGAAACAGCACTTCTCCTGTAAAAACAAGCAGATGCCTCCCTTTTTGGCAGTTAACAAGTCTAGACCTCTTCTGTTTTGAAGGACTACCTCAGCCAGGCTATCAAGTTGTGTCTGGATCTCTATTATGGTTTCTGAGAGAAGTTGAACATCATCAATCAATTGTTGGGAGAGTTTATAGTAGGTGTGGGTGGCCACCCCCAAGCCTGCAGTTCCAGTAGCCAGCCCGGCGGTTACACCGAGTGTTATCATTAAGGGAATCATTTGGA